ATTTTAGTGCTTCAGTAACAGGTTACTTGCTACATTTGCACTAAGTTGAGCCTAAAGCGTTCTGTGACTTGGTCGCTCTCTGCATCCAAATTACTGGAGAAGGTGCAGGCTGGTGAAAAGCACATTCATCTTATGACGGCAACCTGAGCCTACGAATACCATTTATCCTTAAAAACAGAATTATCCTTCTGGGAAGGATCCTGTGACCACATTACACCTGTCTTCACAGTGATGTAAAGCATAGAGGTGGGTATGTCTGGGCTAAGGAAGATCACAGACCTCGTTTTTTTTTGTGGTATGTTTGAAAAGTCTCCTTACCTGCCCTTGAGCCCTGGATTTTTTCCACACAGTGTGAATGAAATGTGAACATAAACTCAGTTACAAGGCTGGATTTAATTCCAAAATGCTGCAGTGGACATTGCTGAGGGCTGCAAGAGTGCAATGTTAGACTGCAGAGATAGTATCCAGCACCCAGCAGCAGTAAAGCTTGTGCCTTTTGCATGCAGGGTGATATCACAAATTGTCTTCCATGTTTCAAGTGTAATCTGCTAGGGTGATTTCTGTATCTGTTATTTTTATTTGCAAGTTTGCTTTGGGAGGCTCTCAACTGCAATAATTTTTATTATTATTTGTTTGGGCAGAGCGGATTTGCACCTTTAGAATGTGAAGTTTCAGACTTCTTTTTAACACCTGTTCTTCCATGTGTGTATAGTTAAGAGTGTCACTAGACATCTAAAAATGGATCAATCTCCACATTGGCATGGTTTTTTAAAATAGAGAGAGGAAAAGAGCTCTTAATGGTAATAGAGAGGAAAGCAATGCCATTTTTAGTGAGAGGTTGGATATAAAAGGGAAATGGAAGGGTTAGAGTTGACAGTGATACATAAGAAAGGCTGAAAGGGAAATACAGATATTCTTATGGGGAGACTGAGATATGGTCCAGAAATCTAAGAGAAGTAATTTAAGTTGAGAAAGGGGGCAAAGGGGAAGAGTTCAATGACCACATACAGCTGACTATAAATGTAGAAAATGGATAGATAAAGAGTTTGCCGAAACTCAGTTGAAAGTCAGTGTCCGGTCAGGAATGGATACAGTACCCTTACCCAGGAAAGATATCTAAATCTACAGGATGCTATTTTCATGACAATATTTTTCTGAGAAGAAAAGAGAATAAATGGCAATATACCATTTTCAGAGATTTCCATAGTGGTTTGCCAACAATTAGTAATGCTTATACAAAAGAGCAAAGCATTCTGTTTTAAGATTTTTTTTTTTTTCTGGAATGTGCTGTGTTTAGTGATTCAATACATTTTCAAGCTGAAGTAAGGTCCCCTGATTCATAGCCTCAGACTACACATAAAATGTACATTTTTATAATGACAAATTACTGAAATTTTAGAAACTAAACTAAATTACTTAGATAAAATGAGTCCAGATATGTTCTTCCAGAAAAATGTTTTGATCTATCCAGAGGTTCCAAGAACTCTAGTGTACTATAGAGCCTTAAATCTGCATTAAACTGGCCTAATTTTATTAGACCTTATTAGTCCTTCATATTTATATTACATTAAAAAAATTAAATACCTGGTCCATTTGATTTTAATATTTCATCACTCAATCGGAAGGTTGTCCTGTTTTCTTTCACAGAAGTTTTATCTGAAATGGGAAAGGAAAAGACCTCCAAATCTTGTCAAATTAAATAATAATTAATAAATTAAATGGTCTTTAAAGAATACAATCTTAATTTAAATATAAATTAAATAATATTTAAAAGAATATAGTCCATCCCTCAGGCTAATCTGTTGATGAGCTTGCTAGCTGCATAAATTATTCTATTCCTAGTTTACAGCATAGATGTAGTAACATAGCTAGTGATAATTCCAGAAAATCAGAGAGAGAGATGTTAAGATTCAAGAGCATTTGGAGCTGTCACTGAGATCTGAAGGCTGAAAATGAGAATACTGAAAGCAATCTTAACACTAAGTCTTTCAAGATGATATGGTACATATGCAAGATTTCATGCTGGTCTTTCAAACAGAACTAAGAGAATTGATTTACTGTCAACTTGTTCAACACAAATTAAACAAACATGTCAGCAGACTAACACTACTCACACTGTAAATAGTATGGCCTTCTGTTAATACAGGTAGAGAGAGGTTCCTCTGCATAATTCATGGTCTCCATATAGTACGATATTGAATGAGTGCAGAAACTGTTCTAAATTCCTGACGAAATGCAAGCATAAGTCTATTTACTATTAAATGTGATTTACTGTAGTTACACTTGCTCTTTCTCTCCCCCCAGCTTGTATTTTTTGTAAAAGGTACACCTGGTTTAGACAAATAACAATATAAGCATTTTATTTAGAGTTAGTGCAGGATAACTTGTATATAGAATTTTCATCTATATTTTAGATTTTTTAAGCTGTATAGTCTCTTTTTTACATATTTTGAGAACACTAAACCCAGATTTGAAATGAAGATGAAAATTGTTATATTATAATCAAACAACACTTCAAAACTGAAAATGGTGTAAATCTATCAGCGACTTTATACAATACATGCAAGGAAGACCTGCTGTGCAGATTATGCCACTACTCTGTATTTCTCCACAGATACACACTTGCTTAAAAATAGATGATGTTGTGACAGTACTGAGATAAACAGAATCACATTTTATCACACAATGGGAAATCTGCAGCCTGTATTAATGATAGTAATTGTGGTATTTTTTGTATTCTTGTGTAGAATACATTTTTTAAAAAATGCTATTAAAAAAAAAAAAAACAAGCAGAATTGGAGAGCCTGATTACCAGAAAATGCTATCAACTGCTTGCATGTATTATTCTACTCATCTGCAATACCTTTTAGAACAGTTGACCAATCACTTTGCTCAGACATAAACTTGATTTGCAGTAACTTTTAGAAGTCAGCTCTTTGCATTCTTTAAATCTTAGTTTTACTTAGTGATTTCCATAATTGATGAGCAAAAGTCCCAATATTTGGAAAGCTAAGAAATTGAAAAAAATGTGTTCAGGGGAGTAATTCTTATTGAATGCTGACATTTGTAATAGAGCTGGTGCTTCATTTTCGAACTCCCTGCCTTCCTTTCCCTATGCTGATGGGTTTTATGATTTTGGAGTCTAGTGTGCTCAGTAGAAATCCAAATATCTGCTTCGCCAGAATGGTTTTATTAGCTCTGTTTTCATGAACTCCTTCCAAATAGTTTAAACATGTGAAGTGAGCATTGCTCAGTTTAGTAGGTCTTTTTTTCTTTGCACAGCATTGTAACGTGCACTTTTTATGTTCTATGTAGAATTACTTGTTGGAATGCAGTTTTGCTCTGTCTTCACTTTTGCCCTTCTCCTTTTTAACCATAAATACATATTTTATCTGTTAGATACTGGCTGGATTCGCGTCCATCCTGCTTTCAGATTTGGTTTGTCTTTCCCCCACTGGCTTGGATAGAAATTAGAAAGCTTATTTTGGGAGCTTGTCCTACAGTTTGTTTTCTCAAGTCTTCATCAAAGTTTGCTCTTTAATTGATTTCTTAAGGTATTTTATGCTTCCTTCAAACAACTGACATAGCGAAGTGGATGCCCGGATCTCTAGCAGTATTGAATGAAGTTTTGACTATTAACCTCTTGCTATTGGATTGACGTTGCCAGTTTAGACACTGTTGATTTGCATGGCTACTAATCCAACCGATGGGAATTGTGCGTTCTTATACAGGCAGAAATTTGTATTTCAATGTGAAATCATCATCCGGAGTTCTACCTGCATTTGATTGCTGAGGCAATATAGTAATCAAGACATTTCTCAGAATTTGTATGTCTAACTTCATCCTATTATCTCATTTGGATAATAAATAGCTGACCTCTTAGGAAGAACACTGAGGACACTAGATGTACAGTGGAAAGTGTGAACTCTCAAGCTGACTGTCATCCTGCCTGCTTGTTAGACTGTCTCTACTCGTGATGGGGGCTGAGAAATTAAAAGTAGCTTTCACTGAGTTTTAGGAACTCTGATATCTAAATATTCAAGCACGTAGAAAAGCAATTCCCCATCAACAACTTTCTAGAAAATAATCAGCAATAATACTATTCAATTAATAACTCTTTTAAGAACAGCTACTTAGAACCAGCACTTCAGAATAATGACATCTAAAATTATTTTTGCAGATCTGCCCACTCCTGTTACAAAAATCTCACTTTGAAGCTTTGCTTATTTCAATTCTGCATCCAATAAAGTTTCCATAATTTAACAACTTCTATGCACACTGTTCTTCCCACGCAAGTTAAAAATCTTACCTCTTTTTAGAGCTGTAGATGTTTGATTTCACATTCTCTTTAACACTGAGAAGTCCTAACCATTTTTTATATAGAGATGATGTCAACCCATACTGGATTAGTGGAAGTCCTTTCGTGTCCCCGTCGGAATGTAAAACATATTATTTTCCTTCGATGTATTTTTGCACACACACACATTTTTGACCAAGATACCTGACTGACTATATGAAAAAGTGCATCAAAGCATTCTGAATTATGTAGTTGTAAATTTTACAACAGAGCCTGTAATACTAAATAAAAAGCATAGTTGACATTTCCACTTTCCTACTAATCTTAAACAGACATTATTTTATATTATTCTTTAGGAGTGCTAACAAGAAATAAAAGCCACTTATATTGGAATGTGAGTAGTTGCTGATGTCCATTGCACATAGTCCTTATCCTTGGGCAATGTGCAGGATCTCCAATATTTTTCATTACTTATTAATCGTACTTGCTTTGCTAGTTTCATTCTAAAGACAGAAATATCACTGGCTCGTGAAACACTACGTATAACTCTTCATATTTCAAATGACATACATAACATATATGAGAAAATGTCCATAGCCTTCCTTTCACAAAAGTGCTTTTTCTTAACCGCTTCCCCCCCCTTTTAAGAACTCTGACAATAAAGCTGAACCGTAGTTCCTTTCTATAGGCAGATGATTAAACATTCTCACCATTATATAATACAATTTCCATTTTATTTTAAACATACTTTGCATGATATAAAAATATTGATCACAGTGAGCTTTAACAATTGTTACTGCTATAAACAGAAATGCTGCACAATGGTTTTAGTGGAAATAAATTATATAGTCATTATCTCTTTAAAAAAAAAAAATCACAAGAAGGAGAACCTAGGCTGTTTGGTCATTGGCAGAAAATAAGTCCTTATTGAGTTCTTTACAAAACATGAACCCCAGTTATTTTCTACATTTGCTTTCCACATCTTGAGAAAAGCAACAATGTCTCTGAAAGCCCCACAGGGTCTCTGGTGAACACTTAATTCCAAATATTAGCAAAGTTTCTTTTGTTCTAATGGAAAAATGTACACCAAAATAGCAAGTAGTGCTCTCTTCACTAATTCATAAGCGGTCTTTTCCAATATGTGGGTACACAGCGGCACACTTCTTCACTAAAATAAAATCCAGCATCACAGCGTTTCGTTCGGACTGTACACGGCGGTCTGTAACAACTGAAGAAGAGAAAAAAGCTGGCATTAATGAAACATGATCCTTTATATTACCCTGGAGTAGAATCGGTGTGCATTTAGACTGCCATTTGTTAATGGGATATTTAATTCCTACAAACACACATCTTTTAACTTCTGTTTATGTTCCTGTAATCACTTTCAACTGGACTGTTCTTCACAAAAGACAACGAAAAGAATAACGAATGTTATTGAAGAGAAACGATTCCATTGAATAAAATCATGAATATTTTTAACATATTTCCTGGTTGTAGTCTCATTCTAATCTTGACCAGTACTTTTCAAAATCTAATTTTGAATATACAGTAATATTTTTCTGTACTCAAATTGGTGTGTTACGACCTACTGCATGCTGCCAGTCTAAGGTGGCAATCCAGAATCAGGTGATAATCAAATCTACCATCTTCTGACCCAGGACTGTTTCTCACCTTATTCATTACTGCAATCAACCTGAGAGAGATTCATCTGCCTATGCTGCACTGGGACTGTGACCTCGAAAATGAGAACGTAGTTCCTTCAAGTTGCAAACTCCTATAGCTACTCTCTGAGGCCAGTGGGGATACTTCTACATTTCATATTGCATCTCTGTGCATTGTGAAGTAAGATCAGAGCCTGCACAGAAATAGTCTGTATTTGATTAAAGTAAGTTTAACAGAAATAGAGCATTAAACCACAAGTCACATCTACCTCAGAAGCAGCAGAATTTTTCTTCACAGATTCCTTGACTGAAAAATAGAACTTCTACAAAGATAGTATCTGTGGTTGTCCCTGAACTCTTCCTTTTCCTATTTTATTTTTCTATTAAAACAAGAACTTGACCTAAAATAACCTTACAATAACAATGCTAAATACTTTCTGGTATATAATGGAGACAAAGTACAAGTCTGGGGTTTTTTTCAGACGCTGGCAATGAGTCAAGAGACTAAAGTATACGTTTCTAATTTCAACATGGTTCTACTTAAGTCTTGTATTTAAATTATGTGTGCCTGTTTGTGAAACACTGATACTATGATATATTACTGTAATTCATACTTACTTCAGTTCAAAGACACTACAGGACACTGCATTAAGGCAATGTCACTATACTCTTCCCTAGGCAATTCTTGTTTCAGGCTTGTGGCTACTCTTGTTATTGTTGCAGATAAGTTAATGTGTTGTGTGCTTGTTTTGGATACCAAGTTACTACTTTGCAATAATTTGTTTATGATATGAGGTCTGGTTACAGTTACATTAATTCAAGCCAGCTAGTTCAACCAATGAACCTGGCTATGAGGAAAACAATGAGGAATGAGGAAGACTGCAAACACGACAGTTATTAACTAGTCACATCTTGTTCAGTGCTTTCAATGTCATTAATCATAGATTATTTCACCAGTGTGGTCTCTGTAATTAAGGGAGTAACATAATTTTGGGCCACTTAATATATTTGAGATGAGTGTAACAGCTCATGGGCATCTCTCAAAGCCCTACTGATCTTTTGCTCAACAAAGTTTGGAAACAGTGGTAAAAGGCAACAAAAATCACAGTGTCACTTGAGAGAGAAAGCAAGTGAACTTTACGGTCTCGCATGCTTGCCAAAGGATCGAGTACTCTGAGCAAATGAGCAACCAGCAGTAGGACTGATCTAGCAAAAAGGTACACCATAGAGATGTCATGGATAAAACACTGAACTCACTTGCCGTTTTGCCCGTCTCTGCCATGGTAGTTAGACTATTTAATGTAATGAATGACCGTAGAATGAAATAAGAGAAAGATTAAGGGGGGGGCGGGGGGGAAGCCAACCTCTTCCTCCCACCTCTGACATGTTGCACAAAATGAAGAGCAGTCATGTAATCATTAAATATGAGGAGTTCTCTTTGTTTAGGATTTGTGCCTCCTAGTGAACTGTGAACTTCAATTTAACTTACAGTTGACAGTGCTATAAAGCATCTCTCCCATGCGAGTCTGCGTCTAGCAGCAGTCAAGGTCGGGTTACTGCAGCTTTATCCTTATTTGGGACATCTCCCCTGAACAAGAAAGCCCCTCTCCTCCTCTAAAATGCTTTGCAGCTGAGGTGCCTAGTTATCTGGCCCTGCCAAAACCGACCAAAATAAATTTTTGAGGCGATAGCACAGGGTGAATAGTAGCAGAGTCATTGTAACTCTATAAATGTGGTTTCCTTAGGAAACTCTGCTGAACAATAGATCACGTCTCTCAAAAGATTTGGGCTGAATGCTGTTTACAGAGTGCTTGCTTGTGACAGATGTCTGTTTTGATGAGGCCAATCCGAGCATGCTGGGGCTAAGGTGGATGTTCAGTCAATGTGCATAATGCTGGGTGAGTCGGTGACAACTTTCTCTTGATGGTCAGTAAGTGTGGGGTTTTGCTACTGAATGCCCAGGTTTGTAATTTTGGACAGTCTAACAACTCCACACATGAAACTGAAGTAGAAATGCTACTTTCAGTGGTGGTAACAGCATGATCACCTTAAAAGCCAGTATGCTTTACAGTGGGGGGTTTTTGGGGTGGGTTTCTTTGCCCTTTTTTTTTTTTTCCTTCCTGCTCTGTACTTTGTAAATGACTTTATATTCCTTTTCTCTGGAGCAGGGTATAACATTAGAGGCAGAGGCATTTTAGGTATGCTGCATAAAAGTATTGGTGCTTCAAAACCAGAACACACCAGGCCTACGTCTCTGCAGGAGAAGCTGCCTAGGACTCAGCTACAGGGTTCTGCTCACAGCTAGGTCTCAGGCATCTCGCATAAAGTTACAGTGGTACCTCCATTTACGCGGTCTCATAACAGCCAGGGATTTTTTTTTCAAACACAAACAGGATGTTGCAGGGTTTTTATTCCTTTTAGAGAAAGCTTGGTGGTCAGAGCCAGAATGTGAGAAACCTATGCTCCTCCTTTCTTAATACAGAGGAGAGATTGCATCTTCTGTTTTCCTTGACAGCACTAAGATCTACAGGGATATTGGCTGTAGAGCTACAGAGTTAACACCATGTACAGATCTTTCTTTCTCCACACAAAGACAAACTGCTTAGAAAAGAGAAACAGCTAAAAGCATCCTATATCATGTTGTCCTTGGAAGTGAGAGAGAGATTAAAACTCTTCATCGTATTGAACCACACCACCACAGAGAAAAGCTGGGCTCATTTTCCTCCTTCAAATTCGAAATCTTTAAATTAATAGAGGTGGCATCAGATATTTCTTACGGCATTTCTTAGCTTTTAAAATGCCTGAATTTTCCAGTTGTGAATGTTCTCTTAAGATCCACGTGCTTTTTATGTGTAGCACTGCTGGAAGGACACACTAGAGTAGTGCTAAGGCTTTGTACCATGCTAAAGCTCATGTAATCAGGTTGGTTTCTTCTCCTTCGCAAACATAAAATTGAAATAAGAACTAAACGATAAAGAAGAAATTATTTCTTATTGTTTCTAACAACTCTTCTAGCCACTCAAAAGGCCAGACATAGGAACACAGATCATGCCAGTTATTATTAATCTTTTCCCCTATTTTAGAGATTTCAGTACAGGTCTCATTCCTAATATTAGACATTTTTCTTTATTCAAGATGAACTAATGTACGTACATCTGGCAATATATTTACGCCAACTGATTACATGTTATATTAAAAAAAACCTATAAGGTTTACTTTTGATAAGCTACAAATCACCACAGACATTTAAATGTCCCAATTTTCTATTTTTTTCCTGTGCCTGAAACAGTTCTGGAATTGTTATTTGTCATTAATATAATAGAAATAATTCCCCATATATTAATAAATAAGTGATCTTTCTGTTCTAAAAGGCATTTTTTCTGTTTTAACAAATTCACTTCACAGGAAAACTTTCCTCATAAAATATACAAAGCAGAACTAATCTTATTTGTTTCTCAGAACCTGAAGTCATTCACATTTTTATATGCAGACTGCTACCGCTATGGGTGTAGCAGTCGTGGAAGGAAAAGCTCCTGTGATATATAAAGAAAATGTGGAGTTTTCTTCCTTACCGAGTCCCACTTTAAATGATGAATGTGGGTGGTCTGTTTTATAGTTATATATGTCTACTTTTCACAGAAGTCACCCAGGGCTAGAGTTTTTATGCACTCATAAATCTTCAGTAGCAGTTGAGCGAAATGAAGGATATGCAAAAATTTAGGAAGTGAAAATGAATGATGGTATGCTCAGAACTAACCCCTGAAATCCAATTTGGAATATTTGAGTTCTTTGAATTGCAATATTCAGTTCTTGGAAAAACCAGAGTGGGGTTTTAAGTAGCATAAAAAAATCCATGGAGCTTGAACTTACCGCTCATTTTCATCAAAAGAAAAAAAATAAATCACATGAAGTAGTAGTAAGAGTACAAGAAACTAAACATGCTTTAAAATACTTACTCTGCCTAGTAGCTTCCTCTTAAAGATGACAGAAGTCATAGAAGATAAAACTGAATTGAAGAGAGGCTTACTGTTTACATAAGACTACAAAGCAATTCATCAAGGCAGCTAATGACACAACCCCAAATTTTATACTTTGAACACAATGAAAGGGCTAAAGACTGAGTTGTTACCTGCATGTCTGGTGATGGAACCTTTTTCCTTTTAAGAAGCATTTATTGGGAGATTCTATACATTCACAGATGCATTTTGCAGGATTTAGTGGCTGATGTTTAGGACAGGTCTTTTTACATACGCACTGGCACTTATCTTCATCAAATTCCTTGCTGGGCCCACAGGAAGCAGGGAGAAGTTTGTTCTTGCACATGCACTGACATGACGTTCTGTCTAATTCTTTGTGAGGTCCACAGCTTGAGGGCCGCACGCCTTCTTTGCAGACACACTGACAGGTTTCTTCATCCAGCTCTTTGTTTGGTCCACAAATATGGAATCCTTCAGATGTGTCTAGAAATACAGCAGAGAAGTCGCACAACTATCAGAATTTTGTGTCTACCCATCCCATATTTTTAAGTGAAGAAATGGTATCAACTTTGTGCCTTTAAGGTGTTTCAAGAACAAACCTATGCCAAAAGACAGTAAAAGTATTGATAAAGAAAAAGATTCAACTATTTACTTCTCATGTTTTTACTTTCTCCTGTAGGTAAACCAAAACATGGAACTACACTTAACCATTTAAGCAAAACTGCTTACCAGAATCTCCAAGGTGAGAAGAGAAACCAAAATCGTGCTGTGCCAAACATCTGCAAATTTGATTATTCCAGATATGATTTTTTGGACAGGTCTTGTTTGCCACATGACACCTGTGGAGTGAAATATACTGGTGATTTACTACTCAAGAAAAAAAAAATATATTTCAGGTGCTGATTGCTTTTGTTTCCCTCCATGAGTTTCATCTCATTCATAACCTCATTTTTAACTCCTATCAAATCTGTTACATATTAAGGTTCTCCCCACTACAAGAATCTTCAACTATTTGTTGAAGATACCTTCTCACATTTTAAGTTTTAGCTCTACTTTCTAGAAACTCATATTTGTACTTTCCTAACATAGTCTGGAAACAGAACTAACCCTTGAACATAAAGTTCATACAGAATATACACCAGTATAAAAAAATATTTGTGTGCCAAATACTGTATAGGTGGTAACAGGCATAATTTTCTACAACGTTTTCTGAAGTACAAAAACGTTTTCACGTATACAGATGTCAAAAGACAGCTGATAATAGTTTCTGAATGAATGTTGCAGACAAAACTCTAATTTCTAACATAAAAGCTCCTTATCAGATTCCTTCCTCCTTCATGTGAAAGTTACGTGCCATTAACTGACTCTTTCTCATGAGCCACTTAAATCCTGGATGGCTTCTTGAATCTAAAGATTTGGATTTGGAGTGATGCCTCTTCACTTTAGAATGAAAGACAATAAACAATATAACAGTTTAGTGCTCTTTATCTGCTCAAGTTTGGCAGCCAAGGTAGCGATAATAAAGAAAGCAAAAAATCCTACAGTAGCTGCTGCCTTTTTAAAGAATGACTGAAGTTAGCTACTAGGTGCACCACAGACAGAATATTTACGTGTATTACCTCATCCTTCTTGCTTGCAACTTCTTTATCACCATAGGTGATGTTACAACTTTTAACAAGTCGTGCCTAACTTCATGCATCCTGTATCATTTATTCATTGTTTCTGTTGTATTTCTAAAATCCTCATCTGTTAGGGCAGCACTTACATTACACATTTTAAGCACTTTTCATTCCCCTGAGCACCATTACTCATACATTCAAAAATGCAGGTGCTGGGACATTCTTCCGTGATCATCATTCAAGTACACCCCTCCCCTTCACCACATTAAAGGACTCTCTGCCTGTAAAGACTGCTGTGGAGTAACATCACCCTGCATCGCCTTGTGTTTTATCAAGCTCGTGCTTCCTGATTTCATTCTGCTAATGATCTCACTCTTGCTCCCTCACTTGGCACATACATCCCTTTGCCTGCCTCCTGATTCTGCTTGAGAAATGGTACGGATAATTTATAGGCGTATTATTGTATTCTGTTTAAAAAAAAAAACAAACAAATCCGCTCACACCTGGAGCAGCCCTGGCTCTGGCTGGGGGTGTTTAAAACTAACTACAGAAGGAAGCCAGGGTGACAGCATGAAGGAAGCACAAAGCAAACGTGAACCCATGAGAAGACAATGTTGACACAAAAACCAAGTTACCAAAGACCTTGAAGAGAACAACATGTATTTCCAACATGTATTTCAGCATCAGGGTTGGAGACACCCAGCAAAAGAAACTGGAACTGCTTCTTGACAAACACTACTCTGGCTACTAGTACAGAAAATTACTGGGTGATGTAGTAGAAGTTTTAAAGTTACTTACTATTACATTTTAGGAAAGTTCAGGAAGGCTAGGAAAAAAAAAAAAAAGATGCAAAACACTTCGCAAAAAATTTCACTACCTCTTTCCAAATCATTGTCGTCTCAACTTGAAAAGAAAAAAAAAAAAAAAAGCAGTGTGGTAACTTGGTACCTGTCAGTGTCAGGAGAGATAACACATGTGGGGGGAAACATTTAATGTGTACAACATACATCCAAATCGCACCTAAAATAGGCTCATCAGCTCCGCAAGCGCCTACCTACAAGACCATGGGGGAAAAAAAGGTGACCAGAGAGTTGTCGATTTGAATTAAATATATTGAAGGCCCTTCTGCTCCCCCCACCCCAAATTGCTAAACTTCTAAAATAGAGAGGGACAATTTTCTAAATCATTTGCACGTCCTGGTTAATGTGAACTGACACGCCTCAGCTCCACAAGTACATAGAGGTAGATACTACTTTTTAGAAGGGAGAAAAGGAAAAAAGTGGGAGAACAGGCAAAAACCTAGACCTTAATTCTCAGGATTAAGTTGTGCAGAAAATGTATTTTGTCTAAGAAAAGATTGACTATTTGTATTCTATGTTACATGTCATTTTTCTCTTCTTTCTAACATGTGCTTGTGCATCATGGCATAATCTACCCTTCAATTCTTATTAGATGCCAAGTGTTACTACCCTAAATACAGAGATTATACTCTTAGGCTTTTCTTTCTAGTAATACATAAGAAAGTCATTACTACATTTCTGTTAAAATGAGCATGTACATAAATACATGCACACATGCAGATCTGCCACTGTGACCAGAAAGCACATTTCCAAGTTTTGGCTTTCCTGTAGTTTTACTACCATTCAAACCTATAAATAAAAATGTCAAGGAGAAATAAGAAGTTGAAAAGAAATTGAGAACATTAGAACTAATTAAAAAACCCCAGTGGGATTCTGAAAAGCATCCAGGCACCCATCAGGAACATGTGAGTATCTTTACTGTCCTTTCTAGAATCTGGAAGTACTCAGCTTGGTTTGGGGCTTTTTTAAATTCATTTTCTTGTAAAAAGCCATAGATTTTCAACTTAAAGACGGTACTTAACAGCAGAGAAGGCCTGTATATATTCTGATCTACTACTGCTCTATCTTGCCTTTGTTGAAGCATGACTCCTTACTCACAGGACAGCCAGCTACCTGTGAGCGCTGGTCAAAGTCTTGTATCTGTACGCTTTCTAACTACAGGTAGCTGTTTCCTGGCTAGAATAAACTCTTGCACGGGTAATTATAACTGGTCTTAATCTGGAAGCACTGAGAAGCTGCCAACAGTCAGCATAATTTGACTTTATTATTGACTCTTGGGTTTTGATTTTTTTATAATCTGTTAATTACACAATTAATTAAATTATTAACAGATTTATTTCCTAATATTTTTCTAATCCACTGTTTATGAGACATGTTTTGATGAAAAAAATAATAATTTGAATTCAAATAGAATATAATCTGTGTTTAGCTGGAACATGTCAGAAAACATCCAGACTTTAACTGAATGAAAACGCAGAGAAGATGACCTAGCTTACACCTCTAGGCATTCTGCACTATTAGCGTGCCTTATTAAAAATGTTTACATTTAATTCCAGTTCAGCTTCTAATCACTGGTTCTTCCATAAAGCAACTTCTAGTCTGTCACGTATTTTTGGCCTACTAAATATTTATACATCATGAAATTATCACTCGGTCCTCGAAAATGAAAGGAAGGAGTTCTTCAAGTGTTTTAATAACAATTGCTTCCGTTCCAGATTTTTTCTGTGTCTTTTTTCATTCAAAATTATGAAACAAATCAATATGTTAACTCTAGATTGGCAATTAACCCTTTATTTTCCCTTCCTATTCTGTTTTATTTTCACCTCTGGCATACGACGATGTCTAAAAAGATTTGTAGTTCAAGATTCCCTAAAACCAGGCCCTTTTTTAACAGTGTTTTAAATAGGAAAATACAGTTTGAGAAAAATGTTATATAGTCCTTACTTGCTAAAATAAGTATTTTTAGCTTTTCTTGATTACTTTTTTTTCTGAAGTTGATTTTATTGCTGTTTCCTTTAAGCCTCAATTGCACTGTAGCTCTTTCCATGAAACAAAATTATTATTCATTTTTAAATCATCTAGGCTCAGTTTCTCCACTTGGTAAAAAGGTAATGTTACTCGAGTAACACTCTCTCCACGTGAAACAATACTAGATCCTTTGCAAAATGCATTTTGCTACTACCAATGTGTATAAGTTCAGCTGTCTTCATTGTGAAAGCCTCTAGCAAGATTTTAAATCTAATTATATAGGCTTGCTCACAATATGAAAAGAAAGAAAAGCCTCATACTTACTGAGCTTGTGTTGCTGGCAAGGCACGTCTTATGATCGAATGAACTTGTCTGTAAACATCCAACTTCGACATGCATCGGCAGGACGTGTGATTGGCAAAACTGACGGTTACAGGTTTGGGGCCATGAGAGAGAGGCACCGTGATCTCAAACAGCTATAAAAGGGAAAGCAAAGCAAAGATAACGTTTTTTATAGATCAGTAACAGTACAACTAAAAGTAATAAAGGACACACAAAAAAAGCTATAAGGAATTTTAACTTTGGGGCTTTGTTCTCTACCGTCCTTCAGTGGCATATTCAATTACACCGCTAAATAATCATTATGTGCAAAATGAACACACTAGCTATGTTATGACAACATTTTTAGTGTTAAACTCTGTTACGTGCCTCTTTGCTTATGATAACATTTAAACTAACATTGTTAGGAGAGGAAAATGTACAAAGAACTCATTTTTCTAGAGGAAATGACTTCAAATTGGCAGCCTTTTAAAAAATCTAAAATGTAACATTTGGAAAGTGCTTCAGAAAGTTGGAAGACAAGAATAATTCAAAAAGGGAGCAAGCTGCAATCTAATACATCAGTTGCACAATTACAAGAGCTTGTCTAAAACAGCAGTATATTGGACTTGGATCAAAACATTTTTTGATGAACAAGTTTTGAACGGCAGCATACTGTATTTTTGACCTTCCAGTATTTGTATCAATGCAAATGATATGGTTACCCTAACGCACTGCATCTTCAACTACTTTTTTTATTTTAGGATATTAAGAAATATTCATTATTAACAAAATAATAATGTATGTGAGTGAATAAAATCCTAATTTTAGTGGGGAATGTATTTCAACTGGTGGAAGAGAACAAGTTCAGCAATACCTTGTGGAAAAACTGAACATGTGGTAACAGACAAACAGTGAGACTGATTTCAGCATTCAGTTCGGGACATGTACTTTATCAAATTAAGAAGGTTTCACTCTAAGACTCAAATCTCAATAGTGTCTGCAAAAGTTAGGACAAATATTTTAGGTCAAAGTCTTAAAAACTATTTTTTGATAGTATTTTTAATAGGATAATAGTGCACTGTTGCCTTTTATGTGTTTAGTCACTTTTCCAAATATATTTAAGAGTATTTCTGCATCTTCTGGGGAATTTACTACCTTTAAAACACCGTCATCGGTTATTATTCCAGTTTCAGTTGATAGGACTGTATAACAGGACTTTAATTTTTAGCTGAGATCTAGTTGCAATGCTTTTTTATAATCAGTAACTTTATAGTATGGTATATAGGCAGCATGCAAATCTAATAAAAATACAGGTACTTTTAAATGATACAAAATACAAAATAAATCTACAGGATGTCCTGAAAACAGCACCTTGCACTGCAGTATGCGAGTGTGCCTGAGTACTAACATGCAGGTGCAGCAGTGTGGGACATGTTCACCAAGGACCCACAAGGCAAAAGGGCACTTGTGCAACCAATAATAAAGCTTGTACTATTGATAGAGCTAAACCATGCAACTTAAACCTAAATTGTATAAAGCATCATCAACTCTGATAGAAATTATCTATTTCACAAAACAAATTTTGACATCATGGAGTGATTGGATCTTTCAAAAAGTTTAACACTGGGAGTCTTGTCACACAAGATCGGAAACAGTGAAAGTACTGTATCTGCATTTTATTCAAATGCAGCTTCCTGTATCTTTCAAATACTGATTAAAATACCCTATTTATCTAGGCAGCTACCTTGAAAGGAGTTTCTCTTGTTAGAGGGACTTTTGGCCAAAGCATAGTAACATTTGGATTCTTGCTCCAGCTGCAAAACAAGTAACATTTCTTAAAACTTTGGTCTTGAGTCACTAATAAGATAACGGCACAAGTCCATGTCTAGTTTAAAGTTTGGTACCCATAAAATGAATGCCTAATTACTACCAGACATACCTCCAGGGTTTTCACTAAGTTCAACAGAGACTTCTGGAAAGAGACATTCTAATCAACTTTTTATTACACTTCTAAGTGTTTTTGGCTTCCAAACCAATATTGGCTCCTTTACCCTTATCTACTGTAAAAGTTCCTTTAAATGAATCATGAAAAGCATTCTTACCAAGATGTCTCATGCAAAAAGAGCAATAATCATAGCACAGAGCTATCATTTTCATACTAATCTATTACATGAAAATAGCTTTATGTACTTATTTATTTAAAAATATCCACCTGTTTGAAGGCCATCATAGGTTTTGTTATAACGTACAAACTAACTAGGAAATTGGAGAGGAGGAAGGTGATGGTGTAGACAGACAGAAAGGATCACGTTTATGAAAAAAATAGCTTTAATTTCTGTATACAGTACACATTCGAGAAAACACATGCTGAGTTCTTTGGGTATCTGGTTTTTAAATACTGATCTTTAACCAGATGACAAAACTCACCTACATATGCAAGACTTGTATCTTTTTATAAATAAGCCATGCTTTCAGAAGGACAGCACAACTGTTGAAACCTCTGAGAATCTGGACAGCTAAGAACCTACAGTTGCAAAAGCCTTTACCATATTAAACACCTTGTAAGAAAACTGATTCTTAAAAGCCATATGAATTGAGGGGCAGAAGAAAGAGTATGAACTTAGTTACAGTACTACATATGTAAAGAGAATCTCGTTTTCTCTGCTTTCTCATGCCAGTATGAACTTGCTTTTGCAAAGCTGAAGTAAAAACCCACTATAGGGAGAATTGACAGAACTTAAAAACTGAAGATAAGCATGATTCTTCGCATGGACCAAACTGCAGCTGACTAGAAGAAAGGGCACATTCTGTTCCTCCGCTGTTCTTGGGAGTAGATCAGTTCGCCAAGCTGCAAAGCACAGCAGACTCCAGACCGCTGGAGATGGCAGTGCAGGACTATTGCTACAGTTCCAAGCCACCTGAAAGAGGTCTCTGTCAACCCAACTGTCCTCCTGTTTGGCTTCAGGAGTGGACTGAGAGAAGTATCACTAGAACACCCGAGATGCAGCAATGGTGAGAGAAAATGATGGTTAACATGAATTATCTTAATCCACATTTATCCTTCCATTTAAACTGAGTAAAGTATCAGTTTAGAATATTGCTAGCAAATATTCCTATCAACATTGGTGCAATGCAAAAAAAGCATAGTTAAACAATGTAGAAGTAGATGAGCTTTCTTGACCTTCATTGAATTACCTTCCGTTTGTTCAACTCAATTCTCTCAATAGCAATGTATTTTACATCACCCAATAGTAGCTACTGTTTATACATAAAGTCAAAAAACCTAAGCCAAATATTTACATTATATTACATTACATACTACATTATAGTTGGCATTACATTTCTAGCTTTCGCTTCTGGAAGGTGCTTAAGATGATACATGAAAGAGCATTTTGAAAAATAATATAAACCAGATCTATTTTCATTAATGGAAATTATGGGAGTGAAATACTGGGGTTGGAATTACTGATTTGTTCTTCCTACACTTTTTTCTGCACATGCTGTTGGGATACTATATTCTGACACATACTGAGAAAGGAGATGGTTCTTCTCTTCTGATAATGAAAATATATCAAGAAGAGATTTCACAAGAAATAATTGAAAAGTAGTCTATTACAGAAAATGTATTTAATACTCAGAATAATTCAGTTTAAATAATCTCTGGCATTTTAAGGTAAGATCCGTTCTAAAGAATATATTCTGCTCTCAGCTGTGATAGCAGTGTCTCTACATCCAATGAAGCTACTGAAACTCTCAATATACATAAGCTGGGTTTGAATTATCATCTTAATAAATCATTTCAAATCGGGTAAGATCTAACCTTGTGTAATGCTTTCTGGTTTTGTTAACATCTCTAATTTATTTCATGCTCATCTTCCTCATCCAATAGAACAATAAGCTCAACATCTGTTATCACTACGGGGCATGTTTGGTAACAGCCAAATGTCAATATCTAGAAAGGATATTTCTGTGACAAATGCACCATAACGTCTGTGTATGAGGCTAGCTCTTGACTCCCCTCTTTTCTGGCAACATTGTTGGTTGTGGGTCCTATCGCTGGTACCCACATTGCCCATATGGGTACCTCTTCTTGGAATCACACTGCTTATATTTCTGTCTGATCCCTCATTCAGTAAAGGATTGGTTTTACTGTAATCTTAGAGGCCCAAATCTTCTCTTCCTTCCCAACTTTAAATCATAGTAAAAATTGGACTAATTCACACTGCCTGCAATAGGGAAAAGACATTTCCTTCAGGTCTGTTCTTCAGGGACCAATGCCTAAAGACAGACCTTCAGGACTAAAGACAGCAAAGAATGAGCTTCAGTCCCCAGAAGAACTGGCAGTAGTAGGGATTAGACAAGTTTTTTTCAAAGTGGAGAACTCTTATTGCTTGCAGTTTTCACAAGAATGTTAGCAAATTTAGGTACATTAAATGAATATTGTTAGAGTTAGAGGCAAATACTCAGAAGAAAAAAGTTAGACTCAACTTGACCGTGCTGTCCTGTACATTTGTGCTACCAACGCTGCATTGTCAGGGAACCAGTGGAAAACAACAACTGAAGCAATACGTGATAGCATAACTAAAGTGTATCATCTATAACAACAACAAATTAAACCACACAAAATCAGTCAAAGCCCTGTCCTAATCTCTTCCACAGAAGGTAACATCGTAAACTTATGTCAGTAACATACTGTTAATCTCAGTGTATAACACATACGAATGGAAGCTCTACGTAACTGAAGAACAGTTGAAAACCATACATAGTTCATGCATTTCACAAGAACTTAACACATGCCATTCAGCCAGTCTAAGGTTGCTTTGTCATAGAAAGCCAGGTGGCAGGTCTTCCAGCCCTTCACACCATTTTTAATATTTCTCTGCAAAGTACTATGTTCAGCCCTTGCCTCCTTAAGTCTTCACCCAATATGACGATTCTCCATGCCGTGCCAACCTCCCGTCATTTCTGTCCAACCAAAGTTTCCCTTTCAGCCAGTCCACAAAGCTTGATCCCCCTTCCCCCTTCTTGAGCTCATTAGCGTAACTTTCAGCATTCTGGCACACGCACATCTTGTCCCAGCTACTTTTGGATCAACCAGATTCCTTCCTTCCCAGCAAGATAAAGGTGGGTGTATCAATGACAGGCTCTCCCCAGA